CTTTGCAAATTATTCTTGATTAGGTACATTACTTGAAGTGTTGCATGTCTTTTCCGTTAGGAAGTGGTCTGGGGTATTCCTCCTCCTCGCTCGAGCACAAGACTCAGATCTCAGAAGTTGGGCCGTCTCCACCGAATCGACAAAGTAACCCTCTGTTGAACGGTCCAATCTGGGTCGATAACAGGGCCGACTCCTGAAGGAACGAATCCCCGCCCCAGATGCTTCTTAGAGAAAGATAATGTGTCCACTGCAAGTAGTTTTCAAAAAAAAAAAAAAAAAAAAAAAAAAAAGGCGTTGCAGTGTACGTTTCCATGTTCTAGCCGTAAATTTTTTCGATTTTGCTTATCCTACCGATGCCACAAAGTTTGAGACTTACCTGTTCTCTCTCTTTCTATCTCTCACACACACACACAGACACATAAATGATATACATAAAGAATTAAATATACAGAATAAAAAAATAATAATAATAAAAAATAATTAAAATAAAAATAAAAGTAAAAAACGAAGGTGGTATTAGGAGGAGGAATATAGATTGATAATAAATAGAGGATATAAGATTAAAATTCATTTGTGAGGTAGATAGGCGGGGGAAATAAAGAGGAATAGGATAAAACTAATATGATTGGAAATACTGCGGGATCCGAGTTCATCCCTTGGATCTTCTTAACTACTTATTGCTTCTTTACTTACCAGCTTCTTTACATACCTTTTGACGTGAGGTGACTGCAAATGTAATGGGTCCAGGTGACTGTTCCGGTTGGTACGAGATCTTGAGTTTTCATCCACCCGTGAACTTGGTAGGTCCTGTAATTGATTGGCCCCTTTGAGAAAGTTGGAAGTCATTTCCTGAGACAATCACGACAGGTGGACTGGAGGTATCGCTCTATATTGGAGGCCTTCTTTCAGGGACCAGGACCATTTAGTCTTCCCAATCCGGAAAGTAGATACATGGGACTTTTTCAGCGATTTTCACTCCAGCTCTTTTTTTTTTTTTTTTTTTTTTTTTTTTTTCCTCTTTCCCTCTCTGTTGTTCTTCCCCCCATTCTCATCTGCCCTACGATCTCCTTTTCGTCCTCCTCTTTTTCTCGAAAAGTGATTGTCAAACTTTCTCAAATTGATATCATCGGATTACCTCGAGTACTACGTTGATCCTTCGCGATTGCAATGTGGACCATCGACATCTTCGGCGCCTTGACTTGCAGGAATATGAATCCCCCTCCAATGGAACTACCCTCTGATTCGCTGCACAACCCCCTGCTCTCCTTCCTCCTCTCTATTCAAGCTTAAAAAGACTTATGTCCCCTTTGAAATGAAAACTGAGGGTATATCATTCCCCCTGATTAGCCAATTATGGTGGATTGTTCGCGAAAAGGTCTTTGGGACGTCTTCCACTATCCCCTTTTGTTTCGTCGACACTTTTGAAGCCGCTCTGGCCAAATTGGGATGTTACTTTATTCTATTTTGTCTCCCTCTTTCCCCAATTCCGGTTGGATGCATGATGCTACCTAACCCGTCTTATGTATGTACTTGATGGTGTGTTGGATGATCTCTTTGATTGTAAGATTTGGTTGCGGCTTCTGACTGGCAGTGAAGGGAATTGACTTGCATTGGGCTCAAGCGTTGTCATGGATTCATCACACATCGCATTATTTGTCCTCGTCCTAGTATTTGCAATCTTTTTGGGATATGTGGCATTCGCCGTTTCATGAATGATCTTCATCTCATAGCTATCTGTTTTCGTCTTGCTACTCAGGCCAACACATCTGCGTCCAGAGGTCCCCCCGGAAAATGTGCGCCGTAATGGCTCCCTGCTTTCTTGTACGACGGGTTCGGGTCTGGTCGATCTTTGCTTTAGTTGTAGCATCTTGTGTATTTTGGATAATGATGTTCAAGCATAGCGTTGATCCACATGACACTTGTAGAATGAAGGATTCATTCCCTCGTTCCCCTCCAAACTCCATGCCACTAGTATTGATGTATTGATGTTTGTGCTCCATCTCTCTTTTTCATTGTGTTTGCTTTCACTGCTTATGGTGATAGATGGAGGTGGCGGGTGCCATTGCAGGGATCATTGTGACTCTTGGGCCTACTGATTGTATTGGCGTGATGAGGGTCTCTAGTGGAGGAAGGGAAGTATGGTCATTAACCGATGAAACGGTTAAGTATGGTGTCGACGCTATTATCGTCGGATTAGAGTGGGAATGAGAATCCATGACTTAGTCGGTGGGAATAGCATGCTAGTCGGATTAGCACATGAAGAGGATGGGCATTGGCTTCACAATGAACGGCGATGTGGGATTGGGTAGATGTGGTGTATAGACCCAGCCCGAGCATTGGTGGAGCTGATGTCCTTGGCCCCCCTTCTCATCTTTCTTTCGATACCTGTTCAGGAAGTGTCGTCCGCTGTTGGAGTATGAGCATAGTTTGGTCGTCACGAAAACTCCTGACCCTTCCTTCATGAAATTTTCAGAACGATCGTATAATGTGTTGACGAGGGGAATGCTACAACTGCTTTTTCTATATTACGAATGAGTACTAGAGTAGTGGAGTTTGCTTCCGATAACTTGAATATTCCCACCACCCACCCTCGACACCCTTCCCTTGTACTACCTGCCCTTCTATTAATATGCCTTTCTGCAGTTGGACTTGGTTAATGACGAGTTTTTTTCCGTACTTTTCAAGAATTCGATGGATTGATTTGTCTCACTTCTCTCTGAAGGTTTTCTGATCATATCGTTCCCCTTTTCGGCCCCCGCCGTTCTTCCTCCCCCTCCCCCCTTCCTTTCTTCTCCTCCTCCTTTTTCTTCTCTTCCTTTTTTTTCGGTTCGTTCTCCTTTCCTTACCAACAAGTACCCCGTATTATTTCCTCCGAGGCTCAACATGAGTGATAATCCCCCAACAGGATTGAGAGTTTCCCCTTTTTTTGGACAAAGGTTATCATCGAGCATGCCAGTTTTTTTTTACACAATATTTCACCTTCCTTCCTCGGATCGCAGGAAAAAGTTTTTCTGAAATTTTGTCGTCTAAGATCGTTTGGCCCGCCGCCACTATACTCGCGGGGGTTTTGCCTTGCATCAAAACACACACACACACACACACACACACACACACACACACACACACACACACACACACTCACTCACTCACACACACACTCACACACACANCACACACACACACACACACACACTCACTCACTCACACACACACTCACACACACACACACACACACACACACACACACACACACACACAAGAATGGCAGTGTATATTTCCATGTTCTACCGGTAGATTCATTCGATTTTGCTCCTGTCTTCATTTTCATTCTAATGGAAAATTCCCTTCTTCAATTACATACGTTCCTGCTGCCGCGGTGTAGCCGTGGCACATTTACTTGTAAAAAAAACAGACTATTCGAATAGAATTCACATGCGTTGTATTTGAAATACCAGCTATTCGAATAGAACGCATTGGTGTTGTATTCAAATAGAAGGCAACCTATGTGCTTGCCAGCTATGGCTGGCCCTGGCCTAATGGCCACCGCACCTGCTGCTTCTTCCTCCGGTGCTGCTCTCTGGCCTCTGGTGCAGCAGAGGCAGTGCCTGCATCCTGCTGGGGCTCTGTACTGGTCCTGACCTCTGTAACTGACTGGAGGGTGGCCTACTGAGTTAGTTACAGGAGCTGTCGCCTATTCGGAAAATCCCCTGCCGGCCTTTTCCCTGCCCTGCTGGATTTCCCTAAGGCCCGCCTTCACCTAGGTTGGTGTGGCCCATTTTTAGCGAACCCCAGAGGCCCGCCGAGGCCTAGAGCCTCACAAAAAGATCTCCAGAAAGGCATTCTGGTAGCCACTCAATTCCTTTTCCCAAAGAAGCATTTCTCGATTTATGCATGTTATCTTGAGCCAAAAATGGTCTGTGAAGAGATGATATGTGTCATTGCACGAAACCCTGTGTGAACCATGCGGACAGCCCCCCCCCAAAAAAGGGCGATGGCCTCGAGGTATTATCATCTGACTAACCAGCCTAGGTAGATTCAATCTTGTGTCTAATCTGACACCCGGTGGCCTTTTCAGCCCAGGGTGGCCTTTATTGCCTTCAGGGAATCCCAGTGGGGGACACCGGCCAGGGGACAGCTGGTAGCAGAGGGACCGAGCATCATCTGAGTGCCCAGTCGTTGTGCCTCCCCGATTACCCCTCCCCCTATGAACATCAGCAGACCAACCGCTACACAAGACGGCGGTGGCCTCTTCCGTTTTTCAAAATAACTACATGAACGCCAATCGCGGACGTCGCACCTTTCTTTTTTTTTTGTTTTTTTTGTTTTTTTTGTTTTCTATTCTTCTCTCAAATCTTTCATCATCTTTCAATTCACCTTCACTACCTGCCTACCACTACTCTTCCAGGGGACCCCTGCGAACATAGCTTTGATGTCTCGCTCCACCCACAGACAATGCAGGGCCGCCGCCGAATTGTTGGGAAAGTAGTGGGCTCCCGTTTTTTGCCAAGAACTGCATGCCGAAAAAGAAGTGGGATTTTACTTTTATAATATATAAGCTGCGACTTGCTATTAAAAAAAAGAGAAAACGAAAAAGGAAAAGAAAAAAAAAGAAGTGGGATACGACCCATTGTATGGAGCGAGTGCAGAGTAATGGTGTGGTCTACCTTGAATCGCGGGAGGTAGGTGGGTTTGCAGGGTTGACAGGTTGGCAAGATCCTGCTGCGCGGGGGGCACGATGGTCCCACAGGAGTTGATGGTCCCATAGGAGTCGAAAGACGTTTGTTCTGAGTCTTCTGACCTGAGTGGTGGAGGAGCGGGGGGTGAGTTAGGAGAAATGTGGAGGTCCGAAAGGGGAATGGGTATTATGAGCTAGCTAATAAAAAAGCAAAAAGAAACCCACTCTTTTTCCTATTTTTTTCCAGACAGACATGCCCCTTTTCTCTTCTGGGGATCAGCGGTCTGGTTTACCACTACAGTACAGTGGCTTACGTACGCACGTCCGTCGCTACTTCCATCGCACGACAGATGCCCTGGTTCTACTCGCTCGGCCGACAACACTGATTACTTCCTAGTGTGGAAAGGACAGAGGGCTGGATCCCACACGCTGGCGGCCAGGAAACTCATGGGCCGCGCTGTGCGGGGATTTCCCATCAACAACAAAAGCAAAGCCGGGCCGAGAATGACGAGGCTAGCACCCCGCCCAAGTGGCAACCCCCATTCCTCAATCTCGTAAGACAGACTGCAGGGACACCTGTTCTTTCATTTCCCAGCACATGAATAAACACTTCCTTTCCACTTTCTATCAGTTTCTGTGGAGAACAGCAACCCTCGCCAGACCCTGCTTCCACTTGGAGTTATCGTAAATACACTACAGCAGGTAAAAGCTCTACTCTTAACCACATCCACATCAACCTAACCTACCTCGTCCTTTAGTTAACCAGGAATCCTGGAGTCCCGTTGTTATGTCGCATCTAAAGGTTGTCAGCTTGGCTGCTAGCAGGCATATGTGTTTGCATTAAATGCGTGTGATCATGCTCGTCGTAGAAAGTGAGCATCGTACTTCGTCTTTTGTTTATCAGTCCGTGAAATTGTCGGCAGCTCTTGTGCCTTTTTCTCTTGTTTCTTAAAAATGAAGAGATTAGAGTCACAACAATTACAGGGGCTTTTATACGTTGTTTGCAGGAGTTCAAGAACACAAAATATCTGCCTATCTCAGGACGAAGTTGTTGTGAATGGGTTCTATCTATTATTCTCAGTGATCTGCTTGCTGTTGATCATGCTCTCGCAAGATGATTGGTATTACGTGTATTGCCATTTCACTATCTTGCGACCTGGAAGAGCACAGCTAAGAGAGGGTGAAATGCCCACAGAGTAGCTCATATAAGGAGGGGGAGGATCCCTAAGCCCGATCATTAGTGTCCCTTAGCTTCCTCTCAGAACCCTCTTTTCCCATCCTCTCCTTCATTGCACAATGCTCGCCACGGAATTTCTCATTCATTCCCTCCTCACACCATCCCTCCCCCGTCTTTCTCTCCCCTCCTTACCGCTAAGTATCCGACTGATATTCCTACTCCCCGGTCCTCACTCACCCCTTGGGTGCTCGCCCCTCCTGTCAAAGGACATCCCAAGTGCTTCTCCTCCCGTCCCTCTCGTCTCCGTCCTTCCTCAAAATCCCTTCCCAGGGAATGTACCCAGATCCTCCTCTCTCCCTCAGTCTCTCGTATCCGTTCTCTTCTGGAATCCATCACCAAGGAATCTCCCAGAGTCGCCTTTCCCCACCCCACGGTATTCGTCCTCCCCACATTGGCGAACCCTGCCTGAGAACCGCAAAACAAGTTCCAAGCCCTCTCTCCACGCCGCTAAGCCTTCTCTCCACGGCGGCGCTTTTCACGAAGGACAGGTGGTGCACTGCTGGTGGAGGTACTGTCCACGCTGGATCCCCGAGGTATTCATTCAGTAGAAGAATGCAGGGAAAAAAAGGTGAAGAGAAAGAGAGAGAGTACATTCCTTCCCACAGGCAGGGTTTCCTCCGCAGAAGTGAAAGGTCTTGGCGCTTCGGAAGAGCGCTCGCGTGCATTTTGTGCGACGGCGGGGAGGAAAGGAAAGCGCGCTAGGGAGCGCTAGCGATAGCGGGCGGGGGGAAGGGACTGCCTGTGAGAGCGGGATTCAAGGCGGCGGATAACGGGCGGCAGAAGGGAGAGTGCGGTGGGAGAGCGGCGTTCAAAACGGTGGATAGCGGGCGGGAGAAGGGGGAGTGGGCTGGGGATAGCGAACGGGAGAAGGGAGAGTGCGGCGCTGGGGATAGCCGGCGGGAGAAGGTAGAGTGCGCTGGGGATAACGGGCGGGCGGGAAAAGGGAGAGTGCGCGAGCGAGCGATGTGTCTCATGTCGTCGTTGTCTCATCTGCACTAGCAATGTGTCTGATGGATGTGTAACTTCATGCATTGCAATGAGGAGTAGGAGAGGAGAAGAGGAGAAGAGAAGAAGGGGAGGAGGAGGAGGAAGAGGAGATGATGAAGGTGATGTGGAGTTCACATGGCAGGTATGTATGTTTATGCGTCGCAATTAGGAGGAGAAGGAGAGGAGAAGAAAAGAGAAGAGGCGGAGAAGGAGCCGGAGGAAGAGGAGTAGGACATGAGGGTGAGGCGGATCTCGCAATGCATGCTGACGTAAGTGCAGGGAGGGCAGTTGGCTTGGTGGAACGGTCGGAAGACAAGCAGGAGAAAACAATCGAGAGGGATGGAAGCGGGGTACTCACTGTTGCCCGCTCAGAAATGAAACTTGACTTGCCTGAAGAGAGAAGCTCAGGAAAGGGTGTGAGGGGATATACAAAGAGGAAAAACGACACCCTGATCGCAGTGATGAAGGGTAGGAGCAGGAGAGGGAGGAAGCAGCAGCAGCAGCAGCAGCAGCAAAGAGGCGGAGGAGAAAGATGGAAGAGAAAGCACTTTCGATCGTTCCTGGCAATGATAGGGAGAAGACGTTTTCATCGTTTGTACCTACCGATAGATAGGGAAACTAAAGAACACACACACACACACACACACACACACACACACACACACACA